CTATTCTATTGTATGTAGACTATGGCCAGAACACGAAAATTAGCTCACACAAAAATTAACTTTTGAGCAAATTTCATTTGAAAACACGAAATTTTGAACCCTCGAAAATTTGAACATATACTGTAGTACATATAAACTTTTACTATATTATGAAGTTGTACAGTAGCTGTAAATATAATTTAAGTTTCAACTTCTTTTTTGACAGCAAGTCAATTTAAGCAGTTAATTATAAACTTTTTAATCATAATATACGTAGGCTTCAAATTGGTACTGCATCATACAGTAATGTATATGTTGCATATACATGTAGTACAGTTAATGTGAGACAATTTTTCTTTCCTCTATTGGTGCCTAGTACAGCCTGTTGCAGTAAGGGTATATGTACAGTACATGCATTAAAAAGATTTAGTCTATACAGTGTTATGGCTGTTCTTTGATACATTTATGTTCCTTTAAAAGGTGATACATGTACATGTACTTGTATAAAAGTCAGGAAAATTACCACATACACTGATGATGGAAGTGTTTGAGTAAGGAATATTAGCTAGCTACTGAATGTACATTTAAGTCGTTTAATAATTTCATTCATTCAATGAATGAATGTTATACATGTACATGTACATGTATGTACAGTATTCCTTTTGTGATTGTAGCCGTATAACCTTTACACTACTGGTAGAGAATTAGGATAGTCAGTAGAATTTATTATCAAATTATTTATTATTAATTTATTATTAAATTTATTTATTAAATTCTAGATATACATTGTACATTGTAATACATGTACCTGCATGTATACCTTTGAAATCGAATTTATTTTATTAATAGATGGTTGTCTTTTAAATTTCATTGTACTGTAGTTTCATTAAAATTGCTATTATTTATTTTTGAATGTTTTACAACATTATTTCATGTGTTGCTTATTACATGTACATGTACATGTACAAATAGACATGTATTTTGTGTAAATGATATGCATTTGTCACTGCAAGTACTCTTTTGCACTGCCATGAGCCATACGGCACAGCAATAATCATGTCAATGTTTTTTATACTTGTATTTGTGTTAAATTATTGTACATGTACATGTACATTAGTCTCATAGGGAGGGATGAAACTAATTGTACACTGTATGTGTACAATGTACATGTACATGTAGATCTAATTCTCTCTTCTTTTGCTTCTCTATTATCTACATGTACACATAAGTGTTAATTCAAAGTAGCAAAATAATATTTTAATTAATCAATTATTGGAAAAGTCAGTTCACAAAACCAAGTTATTGCTCACAGCATTCATTTCAGTTTATTGTTCTTCATTTTGAAGAGCCTTTATTGCTTCATTGTGTTTGAATTGCTTATCAGCAATAGCCTTTTGCTGCTCCTCAAGGTCTGCTTGAAGTCTGCTTGCCAAACTTCTGGCTTTTTCATGCGCTTCTTTTGGCAGTAGGGCTTCTTGGATGTATGTGTACAGCTCACGTTGTGTGAGTTTGATCCTGTCCACATATATAGTGCAAACATCATCAAGAGCAACCCACTTTGCATAGTAACGTACTGCTTTGACTTTAAAAGCTATTGAAGTCCATACCTTCATGCGCCTCTCCTCTGGTAGCCTCAAAACCGTTTCAATCTGCTTCTTAACATCAGCTTTTGCAAGGTCATCGCAATGAGACTTCATTTGCAGCCAGAATGTTGCAGCTTGCATCATGACTGCAGACAGTGACTTAAGTGCTCCAATGGCACACTGCAATGCATGTATAGCATTTTCTGTTTGGGCTTCATCGTCTTTTGTTTGTTGGATGGTTATTGTATACTGAGCCAGTTTCATTAAAGCTTCACGGCGTTTTTCCTGTTGCTCATTCATCTTTTTGTAGTAAACCATCTTTTCCTCACGGGCAGCTTTTGCAGCATCTTTGTGGGGATCCATATCAAATGCTTTAAACCCGACCATGCCAGTGAATCCATTTGCAATATTTTTTAGAACACTGCTTTGTTCAGCTATTGCTTTGTCTTCTTTCTTTTCAGCTTTCTCCATATACATTTCTGCTTGAGCTTCAAGTCTACAGGCTTCTTGATGAGCTGCTTCTTGTTCCTTCTTATTTGTTTCCATTTTACGGCGCTCTTCTTCTAATTCTTTCTTTTTCTTTTGCTCCATTCCTTGCTGTGTCTGGGTTTCCTCTAAAGTAGTAACGACTACTTCAGACTGCTGTTCAAAATCTTTGTGAAGCTGATTTGCAGCATCTGCCATTTCTTTTGCTGTTTCAGACATATCTGAAAGTGTTTCAAGAGCCATGTCTTCCAGACCATCCAGAAGATACTGGTATGTTCCTTGTAGTGTGTGGAGTATTGTAGATGATGCATTTTTGAATTTACCAACAGTGATAGCTGATTTATCACATAACTTAGTAACGTCATATCCAATTCGTTGGATTTTGATCTGTAGCTTTGTATATCCAGCCACTCCATGATAGGCAATACGTATAAAGTTACCCAATCTTCCTAAGTCATCGACAAGTGCTTCCAAATCAAGTGCTCCAAGCAAGCGAGCCCTTCCTTCTTGTACTATAGCACTACTAGATGCGGGTAATTCTTGAAGAGAGTATGTGGATCCTGCAATAACAACTTCCATAGATTGAGTGTCTTCCATAATAGCGCACAGTTCACTTTACAGACTTTTGCTACAAGAACAAAAACAGCTCACACCCGCGGTTATATAGATTTTTCTTTGAAACCACACCCATCTAGAGTCGGATATAAAAACTAGCGTTGATGCAGACAGTTTGCACTTTACACTTCGAGGAGATTTTCAGATTTCTACAGAGAAAGCACCATGAGCAACAAAAGCGACGCAAATGATCACAAACCCTTTCTAGTGACTTTTGAGACAGCATTTAATGGCTACTGGCTTCTTGAACCTCCGAGCGACTCTTCAAAACTAGTCAAAAGTAAATTAAGCTTATTGCAGAAGTCCAACGATGGCTTGCTGGTCAACGAAGTGGAAAGAGAAGGTTCGGCTGGCGGCATCATAGACCAGATAGTAATGTATCTTGAGGAGTGCCCTAATGATCAACAAATTAGGATTGGTAGCCAGTGTAACCGCCTCATAAAGCACATACAGGTTTCTGCAATATATCTTGCTCATTACAAGGAGGTCGGGATTGCTTCAGTTACTAATTTACACACTGTGATGAAATGGCTCTTTGCTCTACAACCACCAAGAGAAGCAAATGGAGTTGAAATGCTGTCATCGATTACGACAGTTGCTTCTGCTTTAAAATGCAGTGCAGAGTCTCGAGCAACCACTCTTCGAAGAGCTGTAGTAGTCTTATCGGAAGTTAATGCTGATGGCAGCATTTGCTTTGGTAGCATCCATTCTGCTATTCAAAAATTTTTAAGCATAGCAAAAGAATCGTTGACATTCTGGGAGTGCCTTGTTTCTCAGTTCAAGCAGCTGGAAGATTTGGGAAAAAACATAATGGAAACAGCTTCAAAAATAAAGCCAGGGCATCCTCTGTTTGATGAATTTAAACGAAATGTTCTCAGTGTTAGTGCAGGCTGGGCAGCTATCAAATTAGTGAGTATGCAATACATCAGTAACTTGTCGAAGGATTGCAGGCTAAGTGCTGAAGCGAAGGTCCCAAACTTAAGCAATGACTATGTGCACTTTAACGAATTTGCATGCATTGTCAGTTCTCACTTTCTCGATATTGAATCTTACTTAATGACTGATGATTATAAAATGCAAGAAGAAGTACGCATATATAGCACATGGGTCAAACCGACTAAGAATACCAGTATTTCAGAATGCCTTCACACAGTTGAAGAAGTTAAGGAATTAGTACAAAGGGGAAAAGTCAAATCTTCTGCCATAAAACTTTCACAAATTACACAGCAAAGTAGACGAATAAGAAGTATCATTGAAGTATATGTCAATAGGTTAGAAGCTTTAGAAGATTATGCTATGCATCAGCAAGAAAAAATAATGTGGAAGATGAATGTCTTGGAAGAAGAGAAGAAGAAGAGACATAAGGCAATTCAATCAAAAGAACAAGAAATAGACAGAAATCGAGCAGATATTAAGGAGTGTGAACAACTTAAATCTCATGCAGAAAGTAACATGATGGAAGCTGAGAGAAGAAAGCGTGAAGCTGAAGAGAGAAGAGAAGAACTTGAGAACTGGTGGTGGGTGCCAGTATATGGCCTTATACTCGGTGTTCGTGAGATGATCCAGGATAACTCTGCAATAATAAACAGAGAGTCTGACAAAATGGAAAGATATAGCAAAGAGGCCTCAAATTTTCAAAGTAACATTAATTCAGCTGAATCAACAATTGAATCTCTGAGGAATGATGTCAGTCAACTCTCTCAACAAATTGAAGACTTAGGTGCTAATTTGAAAATGAGGATTCAAATGCTTAGAGAAATGAAAGAAACAACTGCCACATTGAAGGCTTATCTGCAGCATTGGAATGAGCTAAGTATGACAATGGCGTATGGGCAAAATCGTTCTGTGGCTTTGGAGAAGATTGTCCACAAAGCCAGCACAATGAGTAATCCTGAGAAAATTCTTACTGGCAGAGGAACTGAAAAAATGTTGAATAGCTTTACTGAGGCATTTCAGAAAGCTGAAGAACTCCTTAAAACACAGTGGCAGTATGTAGTATCTTATAATTATATTTGTGAGCTCTGCCAAAAAGAGAATGAAGGACTTCCACTACCTGTTAACAACGATGCTGTTGTTTGCAATAGTTGTGCCCATAAGTTTGTTGAATAACTCACTTAGTAGTCTACTTACAGTTAATAATGAAGTTTTTTTCCTTTAGTTAATCAATAATAATATTAAAGTATTTATAATTATTTTATTAAAATTTTAATAATAATAATAGTACAATTTATGCAAACAATACGCTATAATAATATGCAGCGCCGACACGCGTACGCTTGGGCGTCCTGCTATAGTTTTAAAAGAGTTAAAATTATTGGACAGTAAAGTGGACACGCCTTTACCAATACTTTTGAAAAATGATGTTTAGCTGACTTCACTGATCAGTGTCGAGGTGATTTGTGTCTCATCCAGGTTCTGTTCTGTCATACTTTTGGTATAAGGAGGACGAATCTTGCATGCTATAGTCCCACAGAGCAAGTTAGTCTGTCTTAGTCTTGCCAGTTTCTCGTGATTCGACTGAAACATGTATCTTACATATTGTCTATCTTGTTTTCTTGTGTTGTTTGATCCTTACTTATGTTGCTTGATCCTTATAATATTGTATTAGTTTATGCGTTTTATGCATGTAGTAACATTTGTAATCCTTTCCTTTCATTTGCATGCATGTATTGTATACATGACCTCTAGTCAGGCGTGGCCTTGACCCTAGCAAGTAATACTGTACATGTACATGTTTTTTTGAGGGCTCAAATTTTGTGCAGAATGTGTGGATTTCTGAATTTTTGTTGTTGGATTTTAAATATTTACAAAAATACTTTTACACTTTAAGTCTACCTAAAATCCTTAAAATCTTTAATTTCAAACCTTCGATTCTGCTGGATTCTGTTTGGATTCTAAGGAGATTGTATTGAATTCTGAGGCCTGTTGGACCCTTTGTGTATTTTTAGTTTTTTTACAGGGACACATCACATGGCACATACATGTAAGTTTTCTTTCTACCAATTATAGTTCAGATGCCTCCATGTGTAATGATTCAAGTAATTTTGTTTATTAGTTCTTGCCTATACATTGTATATCTTTATTTTCTACTTCAATTTCCTTTTGTCTAAGTACATCATCACATAGTCTGCACTGCTGGAAATTTCTGCATGCACAGTGTCTTATGTTCTGTTGATACATGTATATTTGTTAGATGATACATGTAGCTACATCTACATGTACATGTTGTACATGTAGGCCTATTCAGACATGTACTGCACCTGTATGCACATGCTTAGAATGTCAGCTGATTGCTAATAACTGTCAGTGAGTCAGTACAGTCTATGGTTTATAGCAAAGGTAATTGTTGTATTAAAGTAATCATGATTTCATGTACATGGACATGTATGGTATGTACATGTACCATACATTTATGTTTATGTTGCTGCCATTTCATTAAATTCTTTATAAGGTACTCGTTATGTTTGCACAAGGTGATCATTCATTGTTAATCCAGCAGGTAGCAACTGCTTCTTCCATTAAAGCCTTGTGCCATAGTATTTACTGTTATTGCTTTTAATGTACTCAGTGCTTCATTGATAGTATATTACTTTACTGCTTCAAAGGCATTGCCAGTTCCGTTATATTTTATGCAGCACCGAAAGTGTGTGTTGTTTGGTTGACTTCACAGTGGCTAGTAGCACTGGGTAAGGAGCTCTTTGTGACCAGAGAAGAAGAGAAACTGCTATACATGTTGCAAAACAGGCTCACAGTACTCCTGTGCTACCACTGTCAGCCTTTTGCAGTGTTTTAGTAGACAGATATTTTCTTGTAATAATTGTTGGGCAGTCAAGTCATGTCACATGAAAGAAAATCTTCTTACTAAACACAGTGGGCTTGTAAATGCCTGTATTAGCTACATATAGCTTTGTCTATACCTTGATAGGACGCTAAAGACTCCAGAATACCTCTTCAGGAGTGTATTTGGCAGATGGCCTTGATGTGCCCATGTACAATATACATACCATAAATTAATTGTAGCACAGCTGTATGACCAATAATGGCACTTGAGGTGCGGTCTTGACAGCCAATAAGCACTCTTTACTGTGCTATAAGTATTATAAGTGTGCATGAATGTATCAGTCCAATTTTTTGTCTCTTCTCATGATGCAGCTTGATATTTTCCATTATTGGATCTGTAACCATCCTGTTTTAATTAATGATTGATTGCTATCAAAACATTGTGTGACGTCACATCTACCACACAAGACATTACTAGACATTCCATTTTTATATGTACAAGATTGACCTACACAATAATTGTAGAGTTTGTAATTATCAGTTGAACTTTTATTCCAAAATCAGTGCATGTACTATGCATGTACATCGGAAGAACAACCTAATTGATCCTGACAGTCAGTACACTACTTCTTTCTCTCCTTTTATTTTTAAAAGGAGTGCTTCACGTGCCATTTTTTGCCCGACTGCTTTTCCAATCCTGCCGCCGCCTATGTATAAAATAGACCTTTGATGGCTACATGTACATGTGTATATATGTGATGTACATTTATGAGCATAATGATGCTCTTTGTTTGAGCTATGTGTACATGTGATCGTAATTAACCCACTTACAAGTACATGTACATGTACATGTAGATGAGTTATTACGTGTTCATGTACATGTATGTACTACTGAATATAGAATGGTGTGTGAATGCCTCTTCATTGTCAGGAAAAGGATGTGGCTGCTATAAGGTTTTGATAGTACATGTATACTCACTACACTGTGTGTACATGTACACATACATGTACTACTCCCTACTAATAATTTCTTGTACAGCAGAGATCAGTGCCAAGTTAACTTTAATACGCAATTACATACTGTAACTTACCCGTACATATTAAATATGTACGTACCATAGCACTTACTGTATACATAATACTTGGACATTTAGCGTTAGTTTAACGTTAGTTTACCGTTTGTACTGTATAATGCCATGCTCATGTAGCACTGCACTGTAAGGTTTTGATAGTACATGTATACTTACATGTACACGTACATGTACATGTACTACTTCCTAATAATAATTTCTTGTACATGTATATTTTATCTGGGTTATGTTTGTCATGAGGTGTGCATGTAGGTTTGAATTATACATGCATGTACGTGTAGGTAAGAAATGGGAGCTTTGCAAAACAGTTTTTGTTTGATATTCTGCACTATTTTCATATGCATGCAATGCATAACTTGATGGAGTCATAATGTATTGCACTTGCATCTAGTGTTAATTTTGCCAACACGTGCAATGTATGTGTTGTCTACTCTACTGTTTATGATCATGCATGTTCATGTACATTGTACCTTGTACCCTTCATTGGTTTCCTTAAGGCACTGTGGCTAAGTGTCAAGCATCTCAAATTACATTTGTGGTATTGCCCACTGCCCACACATAATGGCATATGCACATACAAATTTACATGTACAATGTACATGTACATGTAGCTGAAGTGTATTATAATAGTGCTATTATATTCTTATACACTACAGGTACATGTAGCTAGAGTGTATTAGTTTTGGAACTACACATGTGCATACATGTACATGTACATGTACATGTACATGTACATGTACATGTACATGTACATGTACATATGTACATGTACATATGTACATGTACATATGTACATGTAATTTTACTAATCTACTTTTTGTGTCCAATGTTCGGTTACATGTTCTAGTACAGTTTACATGGACATACAATGTACATGTATGTGTACAGTAGGTAATAGTAGAAAATAGTATGATCAGTAATGTTGCTCCAATTAAGGTCTAGACAATGGCCGAGTCAGTTTCAACATAAGACATACATGTATGTGTGTGTATAGTGACTGTGTGTGTTTGATCACAGTCATGTGTTATTGTGTATACATGTACATACATAAATAATGTTTTCATAAGCCATTTTATAAACATTACTCAATATTTTGAATACATTTGTTAAATTGAGTCAGTAATCATAAGTGTACTCACTGTGCTGTATTGACAGCCTTTGGTACATTCAAATCAGTTATTCCTACTATTTGCACATACATACATTGTACATACATGTATGTGCATATAGATGTAGTTCATAAACAACATGTTAAATAGCAATTTGTATTACATGATGTAAATTTACATGTCTTTGTATGACGATTCACCTACATATATACATGTATTTGTATAAAGTGCACTGCCTATATCTTCATGTATGAAGAGAGTTAATGTATTCCATTTGTATAACACGATCATATACACATGTACATGTACAAGCAGGTACTATACATATTTTTGAGGTACATGTACATGTACTAATTTTTCATAATTTGTAAAAAAGTTTGTTAGCTATTTATGTTTAATTTACTATAATTGTAATATTGTGACTTTAAAAATTAAATTAGCAACTCAATTTCCCACACTGCATACATGTACATGAACTAGTATGTTGTCACAAAGTAGAAATTTTTTTTATAGAATGCCATTGTAATTTTGACATCATGTACATATGTGTAAGTATATAACATACATGTACATGTACATGTATATACACTGGACATATAGATATTTAAATTGTGTTGACATAGCTAGTGTATGTAGTGTAAATGGTACATTATACGTGCTTGGTGTTTGGTAATGATGCATGTAATGTAGATGTAAATGTACATACATACACTGCATTATGTATGCTGTACATGTGTAGTTGTATGCACGTGTGCTATAATTTTGTTTATGTACACATGTAGTTGTTGGTTGTTGTTCTGCAATGGATAGAAATGATCAAGACACTAGTGTCAAGGTGGCTGTCAGGTAATACTGTTTGTATAGTAATGATTGCACATTGTACTGTACTTGTACATGATGTATGTACATGTATGCATGATCTGTAATTTGTATTATCAGCTATATGTACTCTGCATAATCTAGAGGATTATGTACATTGTACACACTTACATGTACTGTACATGTACAGTGTACATATACTTCTCTACCAGTTTTTGTTACTGAGTATTTTTATTTGCATGTAAACAGTCCTTGTACATGTACATGTACTGTATATACAATTAAATATAATGTATCTACCTGTGTTTACTGTTTATTGTGTCATTTTTAATAGAATAAGACCACAGAATGCTAAAGAACAAGTTGACATGTGTCGTGTATGCACATTTGTAACACCTGGTGAACCTCAAGTTGTACTGGGAAGAGATAAAGCATTCACTTATGATTATGTTTTTGATACTGGAACAGAACAAGTTCAACTGTATACTTCATGTGTTGAGAAACTTGTTGAAGGGTAAGAATGGAATTTTAAATGTTCTGTAATGTTGCTGTACATGAAGCTACATATACACACATGTGTACAGTACATGTACATGTATGTACATGTTGGCCAGCATGCAATAATAGTGCTAATTAGTGGAATGATAGACATTTTGTGCTTGTGCTAGATGTTCATGGGATAGGGTATGTTTGTGTAGTTGAAGTCCAAATTGTGTTTTTTGTTTTGTTGCAGGTGTTTCAGTGGCTTAAATGCTACAGTCTTGGCTTATGGACAGGTAAATCATATACATGTATCAATTTACATGCATAATTTATGGTAAATACAGAAATGCATGTACATGTATCTGCAGCTCATTTTAAATATTGTTAATGCTTTATTTTTTAGACTGGTAGTGGTAAAACATACACAATGGGAACAGGATTTGATGTGACTGTGTTACCCGATGAACAAGGTTGGTGGCTACAAGTTGGTTAAATCATACATGTACAATGAAAACTTAAAAGATATGTACATGTACATGTAGCTTACATGTACATGTACATGCATGTGCATATTCACGTATGTACAGTGTATTATACAACATGTATGTGACTTTTGTAGATTGTACATGTACATGCATCTGAGTTCTACATTTTGGTAATTCTATGTATGCATATGATTTATTACATGTTTAGGTGTAGTACCAAGAGCTGTACACCATTTGTTTAATGGTATTAATAGTCGTATTCAAGATGCTATAAAAGAGAAAAGAGATCCACCACAGTTTGATGTCTCTGCTCAATTTCTTGAGCTGTATAATGAAGAAATTATTGATTTGTTTGATCCTTCAAGAGACACCTCTAACTCTAAACGACTTAAAATACATGAAACTCATGAAGGTACAGTACATGTATGTATTATATATGTATGTGTACATGTACATGTATGTATGTACATGTAGCTGCTGCAAAATTGCACTATTTGGCTACAGTACATATACATGTACATGTATATGCACAGTATGTGTTGCTTATGGTTATATACATGTAATTTCTACATTAAATGTACAGATCATACATTGTACATGTACGTGTGCATGTACATGGAGCTCTTTTGGCTTCGTTTATTTGTATAAATACTTGTACATGTGTATTTTTATGTAGAATAAAAATATGAAAATTTTGTTAATTTATCTGCATGACAGATTTTGCTCACATGCTTGTGTTAATAATTCAGGTATTATTTATGTTGATGGAGCTGTTGTTCAATCAGTTAAAAGTGAGAGTGAGACTCTTGATGCTCTTAAAAGAGGCGCCCTCTCACGGACTGTTGGAAGTACCAACATGAATGCTCAGTCTTCAAGATCACATGCCATCTTCACAATCAGTGTGTCACAGAAAAGACCTGTACAATTGGTAAGTTTTTTAGAAAATTGGTAATTAACATTTACATATACATATGCATGTACATGTACATGTGTATGTAGTACATGTATATAATTTAGTTGTTTATAATTCAGTTTGCTGTACTTTAAATGTGTGCACATAGACATATACATATGTAGCACTATACATATGCACATGTACATGTACATGTACATGTTTGTTAATATTATGCTTTGCCATAGACTGATGCCAGTGATTCTGCTGGTTCTCAAGATTGGGAGACACTAACAGCAAAATTTCATTTTGTTGATTTGGCTGGTTCTGAAAGATTAAAGAGAACAGGTGCCACAGGAGAAAGAGCAAAAGAGGGAATTAGCATTAATTGTGGTCTGGTAAGCATTTGCACATGTGTGAAATTCATTAGTGGTATAAAATTGTGTGTTCTCACTTCTAGGTGTACAATCAATGTACACGTAAATTGCGTACATGTACATGTACTGTATTTAGCCCATGCAAAATAGCTCTGAAATGACCCCCAATTTTTATTATATTTTCCTCGTTAGCAGTACATACATGTACATTGTATGTTGATTCAGAACCACATGATCTTAATTCTAGAGAATCTTTTGTTGTAGTATTAGTATTACCATAGTCTCTGTGAAACCATGGGATTCCAAATTGTGAACAGCATGGTATTTCAATGGAATTGCAACCTTGACCATCCCAGAGTGCATCACTTGTAATGAGACTGAGCACCCAAACTATGGTTGGGTTGCCTGATTCATAAAAGTAGTTGTTTCCAATAAATGACGGCATTGTAACACTAGCTCCAGTTGCGCAAGGACAGTCTAGACCACTTTCATATCCAGAAGCTATGAATGTCCAAGCATGTTGACGAGGAGACCCATGGGTGATACTGACACCATCAATGTAATAAGAGTTAATGCTGTAGACATCATAAACTCCATCGGGGGTTCCCCACTGATATCCTGTTACTCTACCGCATACATGTACTTGAGAGTAGCTGATACCATTAGATGGAAATGAAAGGAAGGCGCAGCTACATGTACCGCTATCTTTGGTAGCTAGGTCTTCCTCAAACTCGAACTCCTCCTGACTGGTACAGTCTAAATTCAGAAGGACAGTTTTGTGTGGTATCAGTCATATCCAGATATGCTAGTCTTGTCCATCCTCCTGCAGAACCACACAACTGTTCCATATTGCAGTAAGCATTGTAAGAACTAGTACCATCAGTAGCAGCTAGTACATACACACCTGATGGACTGTTGGGCTGTTGCTGTTTACTATGCTGGCAGGAAGTAGGTAATGCACTGGGTTCATTGTGTAACTCGAGCAGTTCTTGTGCTATTAGTAGTATATCATTATCATCAACCACTCTGGCAGTAGTGGTACTAGTGTCTTGTAGATTAGAGAGAGTATTGACAATGTTAATGAGCTTTTGTGCAGAGTTTTCTGTTGTGTTTAGTATTTTGTCGATATTTATTGTATTGTTGACTGTTATCTTAGATTGACTATCAACAATAATTACGAATGTCATCAATCTTCCACGATGTGCGTTCTAAAGTATTGATCAGTCTATTGACTTGATTTTGGAGATGAATCATTTGATACTGCATATCATCACTCCATTCATTGTTGACTATACTGCAATTTTAATCCTTGTTACTAGTCGAACTTTGGTTAGATCCACATGTACTGGTTATAGTGTTTGCAGTGTTAGAGTTTGAGCAGTTGCACATGGAAATATCTGCTTGTGTTTCATGTCAAAAGTTGAACAGTTTGCAAGTTCTGCTATCTGAAGACTGAGTAGGGCAAGTACATGTAGTACCATCACTACCATAGCTATTACAGTCATGACCACAACAAGACAAACACCTGTTGGTTTACTGATTGCAGTGGAATTGGTTCTTTATTATTGCCAGTGATACTTAAATATGGTTGATATCCTTTGTTGTCATCATACTCTTGTAGCTCTGTAACTTCGTAAAGATTTTGCTTCTTTATTGCTGTCCAAATGTGGTGTAATTTTGTTACAATAGTGATGCCAAAATTCATGAATGGATATCTTTGGGGATGAATTTAATTGTTTGCATGTGCATGTATGTGACATTTTTTGGCTGTTAGACTACATTTATACTGATGTTTTGCATATTACACATTTCAAACTTTAAGTTTACTTGTACATCATTCATTATTAGTCTATCTTTCCTCTAGCTTGCTCTGGGTAATGTTATCAGTGCCTTAGGTGACAAGACTAAAAGAGGATGCCATGTACCTTATAGAGACAGTAAAGTAACTCGTCTGCTACAGGATTCCTTGGGTGGAAACAGTCAAACTCTGATGATTGCCTGTGTGAGTCCTAGTGATAGAGACTTTATGGAGACACTTAATACTCTAAAGTATGCAAATAGAGCAAGAAACATTAAGAACAAGGTTTGTGTGACATCGATTTAAAGAGCTTGTACATGTGTAGTTGTTTACATACTGTACATTAATATTCTATTCTTCCTACTGCCATCGTTAGGTGTCTGTTAATCAAGATAAGAACAGTGTGCAAATGGCTGCCTTACATAGGAGGATACAAGAACTAGAGCAACAAGTTCAAGAGTTTCAGAGTGGTCGGCTAGTTGTAACTGAATCTGGTAGTGTAGTTATCAATGATCTTGCTAATGAAAACACTATGTTAAAGGCTGAAAATGACAAGTTAGCATTAATTTTACAAAATTTTTATAGTAGGAAATTTAGAAAGTTTTTGCAATAGTACATTTGTATATCAACATGTAGGAATTATTTTTATTTTTTCTGTATAAGTATTGTGTTCATGTTAATAATGCATGTAGAATTTTTCAGTATCAAAATAAATCTGTTGGCCAATGCAACCACTTGTACAAAATTGAATGACTAAAAAGTTATATGTTATAAAATTGAACTTGTGCATGCATGCACATCAAGAATTACATGTACAAACAGTATTATTGTACTAAATTAAAATTATTGTACGTCAATCGATCTATTATACGGCACTGGTCAGCAATAAGTTGACAAACGAACGATAGCTAAACTAGAGTAAACTAGTTTGGTGAACGAAATAAAATGTGATAATACACAGATAAGCAACCACATTATGTTTGAATATACACAAGTTACATTTGCCAGAGACTTTGGTAGCATTTGAGCATGGATAATGTTAGTTTACAACTAGTATGTCACTATGAAAACGATAAACTATAGCAAACTTAAACACAACTTAAACGCAAAATGTGTCAACTTATTGCTGACCAGTGCTGTAGGTTTCCTGTCATTGCTATAATGACAGGAATTCAAAGTGCCTTTCTACATGTATCTCTGAAATATTTTAGACTTACAGTAGCACAAACATTTCAAACACAATTATTCCTAAATTACAGTTGTCTCTTAATATTTGAATTTTGAAATTGCTTGTACAGTTCATGTAATCTATTTGTTATTTGTTGTACATGTACTGTAGATTAAGAGTGCGTATTAAGAAATTGCAAGAGCTCTTAAACAGTCAAACTGAGAGGCTAGCATCAATACAAGCTGAAAAAGAGATGCTGTCATTAGGAGGATGTTATGATGAGTCTACTGGTCAAGGTAAAAAGTACTCTACTAGCTGTATAATTGTAACAAAATTTTGTGGTGAATGCCTACATGTACAGTACATGTAATCTTCTTCTGTGTTGTTGTTTGCAATTTTTATGTGTTGCATAGCTTGCATGTTGTTACCTTGTGCATCATGCATTAATTAACATGTTCTATTCTGATTTTGTCAACTGTTGTTTCTCTAGTGATGAGTGTTGAAAGGACCCAGGATAATTCAAGTCCACAATTTCAAGAAACTCTGCAACAATACCTGCATCAAATTGAAGAATTAAGGTTGTACCCATGCATACAGCTCAAATTCATGTACATGTTGTACATTGTATATTAATTCTGTTATTGGTGCACCTTTTACTCTGAAGTGTGCAAGCTGGGTCATAAGCATTACTACAATTAATGACCTTTTTTGTATGTGCATTTACATGTACATCTACATAATCAAAATAGTTTTTCTGCCGTGTAGTACATGTACTGTACATGTATGTTCATGCAATGTATTGCATACATGAATGTACATGTACATTGTACATGTATGTTTATTGTATGTACATCTTTATTATGTTTCATTTTCGTTACACACATGCACATGTACATCCACGTGTAGATCAAAGTTATTTTTAGTTCAATCTCAAGTGACTAGTGAAACAATTCCAAATATGTCCCATTCAACTCTTGGCCATCCTCTGTCTTCATCCTCTTCTTCCGTATTGCATACTCCTGTAAAGAAAGGTCAGACATCACAAGGTCTCCTTCCACCACCTGAACTGGTTACTAGCGAATTAATACAAACAGCTCGTGATGATATTAACAAGTTAGAACAACAATTGGTGAGTATACATGTAGATGTAATCTGTTTATGAACTGGTGCAAAGCTAATTTTTATAGTGTCTGTGCATGTACATGTACATGTGTATGTGTGCATTTAGTTTGTTTACTTTCATATTACTGTACATGTACGTAGCTAGTTTAAATTGTGTGGAATTAATTTTCTTGCAGGCTCAAATCCAATGAACTTAATTCAACTAAAATTTATTGACATCAAATAAAAATTTGTAAAATTGATTCCAACAAATTTTTAACATTGAAATTTTGAGGTCACAAAATAAACCAGCCACGCAGTTTTTTTGTACACATTTACATGTATGTATGTACATGTACATGTACATTGTAGTAAAAGTGCAGTCTTGCGTTTTGCTGATATTATTTTTGATTATTATCATACATGTGCATGTACATGTACATTGTACCTTTGCTTTACCCACACGTAGTCATCTAGAAGTAAATTAGTGAAGTGGAAGAAGAGAGCACGAATTAGGAAGAGAAGTAGAAGTATGTCACCAGAAAGAATGAGGTACCTTAAATGTTATTGTCACTTACACATGTTCGTGTTCAATGTATTTTACATGTATGTTACATATACATGTACATGTACTTGTACACTGTGCATCTAAATTTTTATTGTAATTGAGTAATTTTTATGATAGTACAAATTAGCTTATATGTATGCACATTTTGGTGCTTGCAAAACTTTGTGCATGTTCCAACATTCATCATTATCATTACTCATTCATTTATAATGATTTCCACATCTTCTACATGCTATATTTGTTCATTAAATTTTTTTCACATCAGTGATGTAGAAGTGTGGGTATCAAAGAGTGAAACTGATTTGCTGTCTAATAAAGAGCAATATCACACTGATAAAGATTTAGAAAAAGGAGAAGAGTGTGACACAGATACTGAAGTAATTAATGTTCTGTTTTGCTTTTTCCATGCATGTAATACTGAAACTGCTATAGTGATATATTGATGTACTGCAATTATCATTAGGTTGATGATAGTAACACAGATGATGAAGATACCGATATGGAGGAAGATGCTAACAGTGTTATTTGGTCGTCATGTGACAGTAATGATGAAAGTGATAGTGAGACAGCAAGTATTGCTACTAGCATTGTTGAATTGACTAGTGGTTAGTTATTTCCTTATTGACTTTTGCTCTTTTATGATATAAAATTTAGAAATGAATATCAAGCAACAACTAGTTGATCAATTAGAGAAAGCTCAAAGGAGTCTCCATTCTCTTAGGAGCCAGTATGAAGAAAAAATGGTTGTGTTACAAACACAAATTCGTGCAATTGAATCTGAAAGGGATAAGATTATTAAAGACCTAGGTATGACATGTACATGTATATACAATGTACAACATCTTATCATGTCAGTACATACATGTACATGTACATGTACATGTGTAAATGATTGCATTATACATGTACATGTAGTTACTGTGTTCATGAATACAATGTACATGTACATGTTCATGTTTATGTGTCTTTTTGACCTTAAGCTTCAAGTCGTCAGTCTGAAGTAAGAGATGAAAAAATTAAAGAAATGAAGGAGAAGTATGAGACTCAGTTGAATGGTTTGAAAAAAGAACTAAAACATTTGGAAATTGCTAAGAGAGACCACACTATTGCTCTAAAAAAGAATGTGAGTGGCATCCACACATCTGTGTTCAGTACATGCATGTATATGTACTGTATGTACTGTACATGTACTGTACATGTTTTACATTATAAAAGTTTTTAAAGTAGCAATCTAAAATTTACAATCTGCATGCACATGTACATGTTAATTTGTTTAAATCTATCATGTTTCAGGTTCAACAAGAGACTGAACTACGCAAGTTAAGATCAGATCTTTCTAATTTGAAAAATCAAAAAGTTGGGTTATTGAAACAATTGAAGAAAGAAACTTCAATTTCTAAGAAGAATGCTCAAAAGAATGAAAAGTAAGGGACAGATAGTTAGTAAATTGATTAAAACAAGATAATATATCAAATATTGGCACAATTTCATCAATTATGTAGTTATACTCAGTTATTGTTTGTAATAGAGAACTGGCTAAATTGAGGAAAGATCATCGTAAAAAAGAGAATCAGATTAGAAACCTTCAAGCTGATGCCAGGAAAAAGGAAATAATGCTAAAAAGAAAAAATGAAGAAGTAATATACATGTACATGTACATGTACATGTACATGTACATGTACAAGTACATGTACGTGTATACTAATGTAAATGTACGGTATAGCTTGAAAATTTGGTAGAGGAAAATTTTGGCGAATTGAGATCTGTTCGCCAAATTTTTAGTGTCTAATTTGATGGGGTTCCATAGAAGCATACACAGAGTTAAAATTTTGCCAAAATTTTAACCACGAAACCTCTTTTGAAGTCAATTCACCAAATTTTAACTCTCCAAATTTTCTAGCTATACGGTATTTGCTACACTGCTTTTCCTATATGTATTCACAGTACATGTATTATCGGTTCATTTTCTACGTGGCAGGCAAATACAAGTACATATATACATGTAGTATACATGTAAATGTCCATTAATGCTTATTGTATTTCAAGTTCAACCATTAAATGGAATCACATGCATGTACACATACATGTACATGTACATGTACATTGTGTATGCATGTACATGTACAGTACATGTATGTGTTGTACATGTACACATGTGCATTGCATTAGGGACTTTGATTCTATTTACATGTATGCATTATGTACATGTATATGTAGGTTCAAGCATTACGACGCCAGCAATCTGCTAAAGATGTCACAGCCAAAAAGGAACGTCCTCTCACTGCCCCTCCAGTCCCCTCTCCTCAAGTGTCTAGAAAAGATCCCAACGCACAGCCAGCTGCTAAAAAAGCTAAACTTGGACGACGTCAATCATCTATGTTTACTAGTGATTCTGCTAGAAGAAAATGGAGGAAAATGGAAGTCTTGGTGAGATTTTATTATAAGTTACATGTATTTGAAACTTTCTAATAATGCAACATGCACATGTAACATACTGCATACATGTACATGCGTGATGCATATCCATGTTAACTGTTTTTCACAAGTGATACTCTATTTTCATTTTTATTACATGTACATATACATGTATATTTGTACATTCTACATGTTGAATGTAGATTAAACGAGTGATTGACAAACATCAAACAATGAATTTGCTTGAGTCTGACCTGGACCGATGGCTACTCAAAAGAGATGAGCTGTCAGAGAGATCTGATCAGTTAAAGCTGCAGAAAGAAACATTGCTACAAGCAACTGAAGTATGTGTTTTTATTCATGTACTGTATAAAAGATTTGCATGTATTTTTACATTTTATGCTTGATTTTTTTATGTGCTTTCTTGTGTACATTTGTAAAAACCTTGTACTCTATACTAGTACATGTGTATGCATGTACTGTACATGTGCATTTACAAAGTACAGGTACATGCAATCTGTTTTAATGGCAACTAGACTTTCTTGAATCATGTTGAGCATCATGTACATTGTACATGTGTATTTTTCATTTGTGTTAGAGAAACCCATGTACTTTTTGCACATACATGTACATGTACATGTACATGTACATGTACATGTATGTACATTGTTCTGCATGTCAAAATTAAGAATTGCAATCTACATGTACATGTACATTGTACATGAATTTAATGTAAAATTATGCATGTACAATGTATGTACTTGTAGGATTCTGAGACACTAGCTTCTTTAGAAGAGGAGTATGAGGCATTGTCTGCTCAAATAAACTGGACCAATGATTCAATTGATAAATTGCAGGAAGAAATAGTAGCTTTTGAAGATATTAAGGTACTTACTGTAAATGTTTGTCATTTACTGTGTCGATTCTGTATTAAAAATTTGTACCATTTTGTACTTTTGATTAAAAATGACACACAGTACACATGTACATGTATTCATGTACATGTACTGTACGTACATGTACATGTACATGTGGATTACATTATACATGCACATTTAAATTGCTAGATGAGTATTTTAATACACGTGCTGTCATCTCCCGTGATTGGAATGTACATGTACATGTGCATGTACCGTAGGTGGGTTATATTCGCGGCTGCTAATATTCGCGGTGATAAAAACTAATAAAGAAGTTCAATTAAATACCATGGAAACAAATTGATTGTTACTATGACAATTGACCACGTGTTTATACAATTACAGTGTTCAGCAGCTAATTAGCTACTCTTGAGCAGTTTGAGTAGAGCTATCCAGACTCCAGTTCTGTATCTGTTATCTTCTTGTATAGATGGACCGCTACCTTCTAGTTTTTCGCTACAAAATCACTGCTGGTCGGTCGGTCATGATTATAAACCACACCCAAGTTAATAAAACACTAACTAGAATGGGTGGAGAGTCCCAAGACACGGCGAGGCAGAGTGAGTAGAGTATTTCTGAAAAGAACTGGCTAAAGTAGCTTCAAAGAGTCCAAGGATTAGTAACAGCAAGAAGAATAACAACTCAAGAACACTACAATCGGGTGCTGTGCTTCAATAACGCGCCGTTTTCAATTAAAGTAGCATCTAGTTGCTATGGCAATTGCTAGCCGCGGGAAAAAAATCGCGAATATTAGCAGCCGCGAATATAACCCGACCTACGGTATATGACACTTTTATTACTGCAACATACATGTACAATGTATGTCTACCATACATTTTGTATAACAAGCCTTTTCCAGTTTCTAGTAACATGTGCATGTACATGTAAATGAGTGCCATGCAGCAGCAATTTGTGACATGCGCCAGTTTTGAATTACATGTACTCGAAGACAGCAATGGCAATAATGATTAGTGAAACCCTTTACTTCATGCATGTAGTACATGTACATGTACATGTACATGCACGTGCAGGTAGAGTACCATTGGCCTACATGTACACACTGTACATTGTACCATGTATGTATGATGTACATGTGCATATCATGTAAATGTGTCTTGTGCATAAATTTAGCCATGTGTTGTTTTTTAATAGACGGAAAGTGATACAGCTGACACCACTGCTTTAATTCATACGTGTTCAACAAGAGAAGCTAAATATTTACTTGAACATATTGTTAATATGACAATTGAACTAGTAAGCATTATGAATTTGTACATGTTTTGTTTGTACGAAGATCATCTTTTGTTAAGATGTATGTTATGTGTATATAAATATAGAAAGAATACGTGTACATGTATTAAATTAATTATAGGGCACACAGGCATCTCAAAAGGATGTAGAAGCCAGGAGTCTTAAAATGAGATTAGCAACCTCAGAAACACACGCTGAGTTAATAAAGATGTACAGTTCACCTCATTTTCCACAGTCACCATTAGTGATTAATTCTCGAACTGTTACTAAGATAAAACCTACCTGTGCTGTTACTACACCAGCCTTCTTCCCTGCATCGTCTCAGTGTAAACTTGATTATGCTATGGAGGATGATACTGATTTTAATACTACAATCACTTGTAATCCTGAGAATAGTAATATTGATGACCAGCAACAAGAAGAGCAAGTAAGCATTTTTTAAAATAATGAAATGTTGCACTATTTGTATGTGATGTACGCATATGTACATGTACATGTACATGTGTAATTTCTGTGTTATAAATAGAGGAAAAATGCAACTTTTAATATTTAGTAAATGTATACATACAGTACATGTATAAATGTTCAGTGATTATTTCATCTTTTAGTAAAATTTTTGATGCTTGTCAAACCTCTTGTATTATTTGTCAAATAATTTGTGAAAACCATCTTGATATTTTATTAGTATTTTATATTTACATGTACATGTTTATGCGCAATAAAGTAATACAATGTACATGTACTTATGTTACTGCTCTTAGCATTAATTAGTGTTGTAATAAATCATTTTTAGTTTGATATTACAGTATGTGAGTTTCATCCTGAAGAATCTTTTTCTAAAGTAAATAATGTGCATGTACATGTACTTTTTATATGAATGAAGCATAATGTGCTATTTTTTGTTTCATTTAGCACCGACGCAGAACTGCTGTTCCAGAAGAGATAAAGGAAGCTATTACTGGTCCTAGACCATCTCTACCCTTACCATTTCCTTCTACACAACCTGTATCCATGCGCAATTTAGAAAGTAAGCTTTTCCATGTACACATGTACAGGTACAATGTACATAAATACAAAATGTACATTTTAACTATAGTTGGTACATGTACATAATATTTTTTTGGATAATTTTCAATGCACCTATTTGGTTATTTTTATGCAGTGACAAGTGTTTCTGATAGTAATGAAGGAATCAGTTGTCAAGTCCTACAGTCTGATTCTGGAAGCATTTGTCAAAGTTGGCCAAGCCCCCCTTCTTTGTCACGTAGAAATACTGAAATTGCAAGCCCTAGTCGACAAAATTCTTTGACATTAACAAAGAAGAGGTACATTTGTTTGTTACCGCATGTACATGTACTTGTAATGCATTGTATAGTATTTCTTAATATTATTCAGTTTATGTACTGTACCTGTATGTACATGCAGATCAGCTCCATCATTATCAGTTGAGTCTGCACAACAGAGTAGACCATGTCCTGGGTCACCTTCTAGCAGTCATAACACTGGTGTATTGAGATTGACATCATTGCAGGAAAGCAATAGCACCCAGGAAATAAGGTATTGCTATGGCACTAATGTGTCTATTCCCAATTTATTGCGGACTTAAACAAAAAGTTGTGTTTTGCTATAATGCCATTTAGTGTTTGTCTTCATAATACATGTACATGTACATGTACATGTAGATGCAGTACATGTAGATGCAGTACATGTAGAAATGAAAGGATATGTATTATTTTGTTGGTATTAATTGATTGAAGCATGCGTATTTTTGCACACCAATACTGTAAGCTGCAAACTTTCAAGGGGCTGAATTCATTTTTATTGCAAAATTTAAATCAGTAAAAGTTTAGATACATATACAATAATGTAGTTGTACTATACACTCATTACACTTTACCTGCTTTGATTTGCAAAATTAAATCCATGAAATGGGTATTTGGGCTAATTTATCAAGTTTAATCCCTTAAAAGTTTCCAGTTGTATGGTACATTACATTGTACATGTACTGTACATCTAGAGGGAGTTTGTTGTCTTGCTGAAATCTTCCATAATTGCTCAAAGTCTCCTGAAGTATTTCATTTTTAGTTTTTTAGTGTCTCATATTTAATTAACCTATATTCATGTCTCCTTAATATGATTTTTAGCTACACTGTAGATGGTCTCCCAAAAATTATGTACATGTATGTACATGTACATACATGTACATGTATATATGTACATATATACATGTATATACAGGTTCATGTACATACAGTACTTGCATTATGTATATTATATAGTATACTAGTAGGTCATATATACAAAATATAGGACCTGAGGTGTACATGTATGTTCGAGGATGTGATATAGCCCGAGGGCGGTAGGCCCAAGGGCTATATCACATCCAAAGACACAAACCAAAGGTCTTATATTCTGTATTATAAGACCGTTCTAGTATACTACTATATTTATTTAATAGTTGTGGTCAAGATCAAAGCAAACAGCAGTGCAATATAAACGCTATAGGTCACTTCCGGTCATTACTGTAGCATTATAGAAAATATCACATAGGCAGTAGAATACACACAAAGTACAGTAAGGCACGCAGTAGTACCTATATCTCATATATCACACCCCTTGTGGTTTCACACATTGCAATTATAAGGATTGGTGGTTTTAAAAAAATCATTTTTAATCAATTAGCAAAAACACTTCGCAAAAAATCAGCCATTCA